TACACTCACGACTCCTTCCGCCTCCAGACTTCCTCAGCTTAATTTCCTATGAATTCGTCCTTCCCCTGCCTCTTGAATCATCCATGATCCTCCCACTGATCTGCGTTCCACCTTCTGTTACGGAACCTGTTTCTATCTGTGTCGTGTGCTGGCCTCCATCACCCCCCTCCCAGCTAATTCCCGGGGCTCCCCGTTCTTGTCAGCCCTACTCCGCACCCTCTCAGCGAGCCCGTGTGGGCACTCCGCACGAAACTGAACAAGTCAGTCGTAAGTGGGATTCACGTTGTTTGTAGGGAAAGGGGAAGTGGCACATGTTCTTCAGACTCGCAGGGGCAGTGGGGTAGATGGTCCCTGCAGTCTGGCCGTTAGTCCACGGACGGACCCCTCCCACAGCTTCCTTCAAACCCCACTGGGGAACTGTGTGCGTTCGAGGCAGTCACTTGGCAATGCTGCGCTGAACAGATGCCTCATAGACTGGAGAGAAGTGAGGTTCTAGAAAGGGCGGAGCTCGCTATTCATCCTCTCAATAAATCAGCTCTCTGATTAGCCCTGGGTTGGCAGTCTGCACCTTGAACATTGGGGAGAAGTATCTTACTCCAGGCAGCGGTATCTTATCTCTGATAAGATTGGGTCATTGAACATTGCTATAGAAAAGGGACAAGACTTGTAAAGGGGCAAGGATGAGAAGATTGTGCAGGGTGGGCGTGGGGGTTATGCTGGAAAGGCTTTAGACCAGAGAACTGCTGGTAAAGCCAGGCTCTGGGTATGGGTGGGAGCTTCTAGCCCTGGATTCGTGCTGTGGATTGACCTCGTCATAACCAGGTGCCAGGAGCTGGGCTGTAAACACGCAAGCTGCTCATCACCAGAGATCACTCACCAGGAGGCAAAAGTCACCCGTAACCTGTGATAGGTGGTGATACCTGCCTCAGACTCAATGCCATCTCCTTGCTTAGCTCCAGCCTTAGGGGGTTTATTCTTGGTCATCCAAGTACCTCTCCCCTCCTCTCCGCCTCCATGCTTCCCTAATGAAGCCACATTTCCCAGTTCAGAAATAACTGTCATTTTCACCGATAGCACGTCCAGGTTAGTGGTGGCAGAGTTGATGGTGGTCACTGAGACCAAGTCTGCTACACACCTTTTTTCCCCTAAATTGATACCAATATGAAGACACACACACAAAAATTAACATGTAGCCCAGATGACTTATCAATAACAGTTTCCACATAAAAATATAAAAGGCATTCTTATGGTACACGTTTAAAAATAAAATGCCCTGTGTTTGTCAGGTGACATCCAGTAACCTCTGCCTGGCATTCTAGGTGACATATTTGGGCCAGGGGTGACAAGTCCCCAAACTCTGCCATCCACAGAGCAGTAAGAACAATGACCACAGACCCTAGCATGTCCACTTTCCGGCTCCTTGAATATACATGGAGAGTGAGTAAATATAAACGGCATCTGTGCAGAGTTCAGAAGCAGCGACGAGTGCTGATGGCTGTGTGTGATGGTCGCAAACGGCACCTGTAAAGGTTAGGGCTGGGCCTTAGGTGGTGACGAGGGTGGGGGTGTGGGGGGGCAGTTGGAACTAAAGCAGAGGCAGGCAGGAAAAGTACAAGGAATAAGTTTAGGTGATACTGAACCTGCCCCACTGGAGGGACCTGTCATATAGCAGAGAGCAGGGGAAATACTAGAAAGATGGCATCAAATGGGAGGAAATCACCAGAAAGACTGCTGCAGGCCTCGGTGGGAGGCAGGAGAAGCGGGACTTTGTCCATAGTCAGAGGGGCCACTGGAGATGGGAAGTAACATGATGAAAGCCACATGCTGAGACTTTTAGAAGGAATGTGCTGAAAATGTAGCACTTCAGCATGAAACGGAATATGAGGGAAAACTGGAAATAGGGTGACTGGCCCTTGGGTCTTGTAAATTACCTTTGATTGTCAGATGAAATACATTTCAAGGCACAGCTACTTTTCTCTTGGATACAAATGTCCCGTGATGAATTAAATCCAAAGGAAAATAGAATGATTTCTCTTGAAAGGATGTACGAGTTAGAAAGTAAGATGGCACCATAAACCCTGTGATGTGTAACCTCAGAACCCCAAAGCATATATAATTTTTCCCATAAAATACGCTGCTGTCCAGCTTCCTTCGAGCACCCACATCTGCAGCCACAAGTTGAAAGTAACACGTGGAGACACATCTGTCTGCAGAGCTGTGAGCAGGGCTCACCCACCACGGCTGCCCTCCCACACCTGCTGGGCGAGGACGAATTTGTGCCTCCACCGTGTACGGCTCAGTTCTCATCCAGGACGGGGTCCCTCTGAAGTCAGGTTTTGTTTTAGTTTTAACTACCTTTGTCTCCGAAATGGGTTTCAGATAAGCCTAGTTCTTGAAGGCATGTGATTACACCCAAACTACCTTCTCAGCCCATTCCGGTATTCTTGCCCGGAGAATCCCATGGACAGAGGGGCCTGGCAAACTGTAGTCCACAGGGTCACAAAGAGTCAGACACGACTGAAGTGACTTAACAACACTGCCTTCTCATCACAAGGGAAGAGCTCTTTTTTCTGGCCTCACGTTAGTATCTCCTCACTGATAGATCCCAAGAGTGAGCAGCTCTATCATTCATTCACACACACACACACACACACACACACACACACACACACACACACCCCTTTGTTCTTGAATTCCTTTCAAGAGTCATGTGGCCATCTCAGGAGCTTTCCATATTTCAAGTGCTGTTTGGAGTTTAGCTGGAAAGGCTCTCAGTCAGCCAAGCTTACCTCACCAGGCCCTGTCACCTACAAACACCTCTTTTTATTAATAGTTACTCTTTCCACCCCCAACCTGTGGGGAAGCTCTTAGGACTGACTGCCCAGTTAGGCAAGGAGGAGGCAGAAGCAGCTGTCAGGTACCTTGAGTGCCTGGGGTTATGAGAGAAGAGAGGGCTTCCCAGAGGTCAAATTCAACTACACCTGGCTGCTTTTCTGTGTTCCAAGACCTAGATCAGCCAGTGATCCTATGGCAGAAACCAACACAATATTGTAAAGTCATATCCTTCCATTAAAAATAAATACATTTTTAAAATGGGATTGTAATTGACATCCTAGCATATCATCATTGACATCTAGGTCAGCGATCCCTAATTAAGTGTATTTAACGACTAATTCCAAAATTTAGAAATTTCTAAATCAGATTCAGCCTTAACCCTCATACTTCTCTCTAATCCCCTATTGAAAAGTGACTATTTTTAAAATAAAAAAATTGACAGACTCATCCTCTCACGTTTTCCATGATTCTTGTCACTCTCGCATAAACAGAACCAGGCACATCTATAGAAGTTACACCCATCCACCCTAGACTCTAAAGACACTCCTTAAGAAAGAAAAGAAACACAGTTGGCTACTTTACAGTTTGCTAGCAAAAGAGAAACACTGTTTTACTTATTTTGTAATTAGTCCATGCTTCCAAAAGTCGGGGAGGGGAGCAGCCAGCCAGAGCTTTTCAGTGTCCTGGTTGCTTCTCAGCTTCTGCAGAAGACCCCAAGGTGGGGCAAGAGCCCCCCCGGGCCAGCTTACAGGCCTCTCTCTTCCCCATCCAAACCTCATTTCCTCCACCACCACCTTCTTAAGAAAAGCTCCAAAGGGGAAAGCCTGCAGCTGGTGAAGAAAATCCGCTGCTCTGAATATTTTGTTTCAGCCTAAAGAGCTGCTGAGATGAAAACTTGTTATCTGGTGGGTCCTCTGTGTGGGAGCAGACCCAGGGAGAAATGCCAAAGGATGAGACCTAATGGCTTCCATTTCGCTTAGAGTTGAGATTTGCCGGGTCACCCGGGGTCACGTAACTGTTCTTAATGGCTGGTTTTCTACTGCAAGTAAATCAGGCCTTGGAAGCCAGTTCGAGGCCGGGTGTGGCGTAGGTGGTAGACAGTGTGATGTAACGGGAGCACATCTCACTTAGTCTTCAGCAAACTCCAAACCAAAAGGTAATAGGAGCTGTTATTTCATTGTCTTCACTACCCCAGGGCCCCTGAGATGAAGGAATTGAGGCAAGGGTGGGGGAAAAAAAGGTGGAAACAGCCTAAAAGCAGGCAAAGCCTTTTTCTTTCTTCTTCTTTTTTTTTTTTTTTTAGTCAGAATTGGCTCAGTTTTTCTCTATGGAGTTAAGGCTAGAGTAGCTGAATCAGGTACAAACTGCCCCCTGCTGCCTGACACAGAGAAGTACATAAAATATCTGCTTCATTATAAAGAACCATGTTCTGAATGCCGACTGTGAATCGCAAACAAGCCGGGTGAAGGCAGGCTGCTGCTGGCACGGGTCACCTGCCTCCTCTCTGGTGGGAAGATGAAGGAGGGTGAGAGAGGCAGAGTCAGCTCTTACACACAGTACTATTTTGGGGATTTGGAGAGCTGCCTCATTCCACCATCTGCCGCCTTGTTTCTCAGAGTATGTATGGTCTGTGGTCCAGCCCGGCTTGCATCACCCGGGAGCTTGTTAGAAAAATGCAGAGCCTCAGGCCCCACCCTTGGTTACTGAGTCAGAATCCGCAAGAAACAGGATCCCCAGGGGATTGAGGTGCACATTTACCCGCGAGAAGCCGTGGAGGAGCTTTTCGATTAGACAAGGTCCGCTGTGCCCCTAAGGTTTGGATCAAGTCGAATTCAGCTTGAACAGTGAAGAAACACCACTCCCCGGGAGAATGGCATCCTCTAGTAAGCTTGTGATCTCTTTACACCCTTACTTTCTTCCTGCTCCTCTTTTCTGCGTCCCCACGGATCACCGGCGCCCTCCCTGGGCTGTCCTTCCCCGCTCCTTGCTACGTTTCAGCAGCATTTGCCAAACTGGTTTCTTGCAAAATCGCTCCACGTCTGGCAGCCCCCTGTCGGCTCAGGTCTCCCCTCCGCTCCATCCATCGCAGCTGGTGTCGCGTCAGAGCAGCCTCAGGCCCCTCCGGGTCGCGTGTCGCTAACCCCGCGTGTTCTCTTCTGCGCCAGGTCCGGGAAGAGTGCCGGCTCCTGAACGCGCCGCCGGTCCCGCCCCGCAGCGCAAAGCCTCAGTCCACCAGCCCCTCGGTCCCTCCTCGCACAGCCAAGCCGGCGCGGCCGCAGACTCGCTCGCCCAGCCCCACCTTGTCCTACTATTCTTCAGGGCTGCACGACATGTAAGTCCTATGCCAGCGCCCGCTTCCCCCACTGGCCCCTCAGCAGCCAAGGCCCCCGGTCCTTGCAGACAGTGTCAGGGAGCCGGCCCCTCTCCGCAGTGATAGGAAAGGCAGTTTTCCTCTTTTTATTTTTACTGGACGAGCATAGACCCTGTTGGTTCTGAGCTAGGATGGAGGAGCCAGTGGCATAAGCAGACTGCAGAGTCTGTGCGGGGTTCAGAGATAAGCCTAGCCAATGCTGCTCCCCTCTCTGACTTCAGCCCAGCAGACAGCAACTGCCAGGGAGACGCGGAATCACAGGGGTGCTGCCTCCACTGAATTTCCACCCAGAGCTGGGGTCCCTTCCTGACCATCACCGTCAGACCGTCTTCCATTTCCATCCTCCCGGTGCCCTGAGCGAATGCTTCTGCAGTGTGGCTCATTCCATGGTTCGCACAGGCTGAGAACTTTTTTTTTTTTTTAAGAAATCTTTCATTATATTACATTATATCTATCTCTATGTAACTTTCAACGGTTTCTTGTGTCTAGAGAAACAGATTTGGGTCTACCCGCTTCTCTTGGTCAGGCTGTGAAACCGTGAGGTCAGCCGTGAATGTACCTCTTCTCTTCTCCCAAAGAGGCGGACTCAGTTCCACCCACTGCCCACCCCACCCCGGTCACCCACCTCTGAGCACACTCGGGTTTTATGGTTGTTCTGAAGATAGCGCCCCAGAGCTGCAGGGATCACATGTGCTCCTGACAGATTACAGCGGCTCTCCTTGGCAGGTGTTTTTCGTTCTCTGGACATTTAACTCTTTATGCTGGTGTTAACTGCGCAGAAACCAAGGCAAGCGTAAGCACTGTATTTGAAACCTTTCTTTCAGCCTCACACTCCTGGATGGATAGGTCATCCGTGGTGGTGATGTAGTCCTGTCACTTGTGCACGAGACACCCACTAACTCTTCCCTCACGCCCCCCCCTTGCCCACCGCAGACATCACTGATTAATCCGACCCTATTGGTGATAAGCCCAAACAGGGCTAAAGATTTTTCTCATCACAAAGATCCAGGCACTCACTAACAAGTGATTTTCTTGTACTTAAAAATCTATTTGCCATCTCTGCTGTAGCTTATTCAATCAGTATCTTCATATCCATAGCTACTGATGTATTTTAGTAATTTAAAGATTCTTTAAATTTAAAAAAAAGTGAGGTTAAGTAGATACTTTATTGAATTCATGATAAGAAATATTTGCTTCCTAACAACGTTTTTCTACTCAGAAGTGACATCGATGGGCTAAAGCTAGGCTGGATGTTTCGCTGTCACCTTCTCACTCACCCCTCTCTCTCTGTGTTTGGCTTTTAAGCAGCGTCACTAAAAGTGAGACGAGTCCCTCTGAGAGCGCTCCCGTGTCTTGCTACCCATGTAACCGAGTGAAGGCGGAGTCCGTGGACCCCAAGTCCCCGTGCGGCAGCCCGACTTCTGAAGCTCTGTCCTCCAGGCTCTCGTGGCCAAACCATTACTCGGGAGCGTCGGAGACCCACACCAGGAGCGACTTCCTGCTGGATCCGAGCCGCAGCTACAGTTACCCCCGGCAGAAGACGCCGGGCACGCCCAAGAGAAACTGCCCGGCCGCCTTCGAGCTGGACGGCCGCGAGCTGGCCGCCAGCCCACCCGGGCCGGGCCCCGCGGAGCCCGCGGGCTGTCCCAAGTCGGCCAGCTACTGCTTGGAGCGCTCGGGCGACAGGAGCCTGGTGGGCGGGCCGGCCAAGCAGAGCAGCTCCTGCCCAGCCTTGCCCCCCAGGGCCCCGAGGCCGCTGGAAGAGAAAGCGGCCCCTGACACCCCGCCTCTGCCCCTGCAAATCGACGGTGCTGAGGAAGCCCCCAAGTCCGGGTCGCCAGACCTGTCCGAGGACGCCTACTTCGTGCAGAAAGGCGCGCAGGACCTCCTCTCCGCGCCTTACCCCTTCTCGTCACCAATCCACCTGCAGCTGGCCCCCCGCTCCTGCGGCGACGGGTCCCCGTGGCAGCCGCCCGCCGACCTGTCAGGACTCTCGGTCGAAGAGGTGTCCAAGTCCCTGAGGTTCATCGGGCTGTCAGAGGACGTCATCGTGTTCTTCGTGACCGAGAAGATCGACGGCAATCTGCTCGTTCAGCTCACGGAGGAAATCCTCTCAGAGGATTTCAAACTGAGCAAACTGCAGGTGAAGAAAATCCTGCAGTTCATTAACGGCTGGAGACCCAAAATATAGCCAGATAAGCCCAGCTGGCATGGAGCAAAACTGATAACCGTGTTGTGCTAGATGGGACTGGCTGGGACACGGTTTCATGGATTTCTTTCTTTCTTTTTTTTTTTTTTTTTGCACTAAAAACCTTCGCTGTAAATAGGGATAAGAGAAAACTCTTACTATGCAGATTACGATTTTTGAATGGTGAACAGGCTATTTTGTACATCAATAAAAATGCTGTACAGAACACTTAGAGGTGTGCCTTGTACGTCACTCAACACTCAACAGCTGCTAAAAGACAAAAGGCATGTTCAGAGAAATACTTCTTACCCAAGTAGGTTTATGCAAGAAGGTCTGATATTTATTTACAAAATAGCCAAAGCTGAGAAACATAAGAAGTCTTTTAAAACACACACACACACACACACACTTTTGAACAATCCCCTCCTCTGGGAGAATCAACTTCAGACAGTTAACTCTAGTCTGTGCTCTGTTGTTTGGACTGATCAGTGCTAATCGTTTTCCTCTTGTGCCTGAAAACGTTAGTGATGTGAAATGACACTGCAATGTTATGTGCTTGATGGGGATCTTTTTATCAAAAGGCATTTTGTCAAGTCTTGTGCTGGTAGAGGGTCTAAGACGTCCTTAGAAATAATAAATCATGACCACAACAATTTACCTGTAGCTGCTAATTTTATTGAGCAGAGAAAAGATACCCAGACTATATATGTGTATGTATATTTATCTAGACATGATACAAATGTATGTTTTCAACATCCATATGAGTCTGATCTTTTAGATAACATCTGTTCACTTTAAGATATCCACTGAAAGTTTGGGGCCATTAATTAAGTCAGCTCTTGGGTAGAGTAGACAGAATAATGTCAAAGATTCTCAGAACCCTGTCCCTCAAAGCTCGGTCTTACCAGGCTCCAGCATGGAAAACTTGGAACAAACCAGTAGAGTCTGTATTGAAGAGTTAAGTTGAATTTTAAACCTGTTATAGGCTGGGTTTTGCATAGAATACTCCCATGCCCATTCATGTCTGGGGAACTGATCATTTCTGTTGAGTGATAATTCTCGGGTTTGAGGGTCTTCTTCTCCTGGTATATGGTGATGAGGGGTCTGGAGAGCAGTTTTCAGAGCCATGTCTCATGTTCAGCATGCTTTGTGCTTTAGGAGAGCTCGGAAGTCGGACATACCACCCTCTGCTTTGATCTGTGCTATCTGTTGCATCATTTTTTTAGAGCATCAGTAAGAGTTCTTGTGTAGTTCTGAAACCTCTTCTTTCCTCTCGTCCAAAGAAAATACATGATTTACCATACTTTCATTCCAGCAGTTCCAGAACCCAGTCTGACAGTTTTTGCCAAACATGATTAACTATTCCAAAATACGATGGCATCAGTATCGTTCTTGACTTTTTGAAGGAATATAAATCTTAGAAACATTTTCCTGCTCTGAACAGGTTATCATCCTCAACCCTGCCTTCCTGAAGTCTGTCCCCACATTCCAGATGGACAGACAGCCACCCAGGTGTCAGCATGACAAGCAGGATTGGCTTGTATGTTATTATCTGCTCTTCCTGCTCATCAAAATGAGTCCACAAGTGGAAAGACAAAACCCACCAGTTCTAATTTTGCAGACCTTTTCAATATGGCTTCATTTCTTGACATGAAAGATATTTTTAATCCATCTCATTGTTTAGAATTGAGGTGAATTAGAACTGAGGTGAATTGATACATTGTCTCATTTTCCATCTTAAATCTTTTTTTTTTAATAAAGCCTTTTTCCCTTCACATGTCTCTCAAAATGCAAATATTCTAGGTTAAAAGTACCCCATAAAAAGAATACCCTGTAAAACTTGTCAGACTGGCTCACCTCTTCATAAGTAACTGGCAAGTCTGTGTACAAGCTTCCAGTACTGCACTGAGATGGCGTTTGGCCGCTCTGACTTTTCCTGTTGGGAAACCATGCTTCAGTGCCAGGGGCAACCCCTCAAGTAAAGTTAACCTCTCAGAACCTTTCTTTAAAATAAAATCAGGAGGCTGTTGAATAGTTGCAAGTTTTCTCTGACAAAATCTTGCTTAACCCATTGGTGAATCCTTACGCCCAGACACCGTTCTCAATTCAGGAGGGAGGAGTAGTTGGGTTTGAGTTTACTATGAAGGTTGCCCCACATCAACAACTGATTCTTTTATCTTTTTTTTCCTTTGAAAAAAAAAAAAAGTTGTTTTTTTCGTCTTGACTTATGTACGTGGAGTTTGTATTGATGGCAACATAGAGACTCCGTGAGGGCAGGGACTATATGGCCTTTTAGTCACATACTCAAAATTCACTGAGCATCATTTGTGTGCTGGGCACCATGCTAGGATGACTTGACAGGTTGATATCAAGAACAGTTCCTGCCCTCTTGGAACTCATAATGTTTATATTTAAAACCACAGTTGTTGAGACTGAGTCTGTGTAAGAGAAACATGAAATCTTGCGAGCAGTTGGATATAGCGACAGTTAAGTGTGCTCTGTCTTTCAAAAAGCCACAGATGGAAAAAATGGCAGCCTTTATGAAAAGAGCATCAAAGAAACATGACAAGACCATCAAAGCTTGGAAAGTGTTGGAGACACAAAACATCTCTGAGTCCCACTGGCTAGTATTCTTTTCTACTGACTGGAATTTTGTTTTAATTGGTAATAAGTATCTTCTGGCAGGTCTGAAGCCACATGGCACCCTGACTAGACAAGGCCTGCATAGCCACAGAGAATCATGATAAGAAATGCAGAACAGGGCTAGGAAGGAGACAGCCCTTTCCTTCTTGAGCTGTGATTTTGCATTCAAAAGTGGTATAGAGAGACCCCCACACTCAGCATCGTTTCTAACCAACCAAGTCAGGACAGGACATCTCTAGAAAGTGCCTCACAGTCTGTGCACTGACGCCAAGACCTGGGAGAAAGTGTCCAAACAGGACTCTTATTTGGGGTCCTTAAATTCATGGCCAAAATCATCATGACCCCCATCAGAAAGGAAACTCAGCAATAAATCAAACCAAGCAGCGAAAATGTAAAATGTGGGTCCGACTCATATTGGGAGGGCAAACTCAAGCACTCACAGATCAGTTCCCTCTCAAGATCTCATAAACGCCTGCATGTTCTCTCTCTTTTAAGTTGAGCCGCTCAACTTTATGAACTGTGAAATTTACATTGAGACCCTTTCAACCCACATATGCCGTTCAAGTTTATGAAGTTGCAGCGAGCTGCCCATTCAACTAAATTGCAGTGTTTATTCTTGTCTCATGTAGAAATAAAACAATCTTACAGGGAAATATTATGACTGTCCATTCCAACTGTTTTCAGACACATGGGTAAACACCCTCTGGCAACATTCCAGAACCAACTGTACATAGTCCACACGACTCCTCAAGCAGTTCAGGGAGTGGGTGTGGATGAATAGAGGGCCCATCACCTAACCAACACTCCATGTCACACACAAGTCACTACTCCTCATGCCTAAAGAGTGTGAGGTTAACATTTTGAATAACAAACTGGAAAACCAGACAGTTCTCCAAAGACCCTAATGAACTGTTCAAAGACATTTCAACTTCAGTCTACCACAAAAGTGAAATCTGTTGTTGGACACACAAGACTTTTAGAAATTTACCACCACTATACCAATTCCCACTATTTTTCTCGTAATGGCACCAGACTGCTGGGGCAAGAAAAATAAAATAGCCAGAGGGCAAATAATAGAGAGTAGGACCTTTACACGGTGGGGCTGTGATAGTGAGAAATTCTGATGGCTACTTCTTAGCCAGTCACGTCGTTTAATCTTCAGAACTTGGTGTTTGAACATTTGTCTCCTTGTGAAAGCCAGAAACCAAGGGTAAACATGATTTGTGTTGAAACTATGTACAAACATCAGTAATTTTGCTGCTCTTAATTTTTAGGCTGTGAGTTTTGTAATGAGCTTATCGGATTTTGAATTCCTTTTGTCTCCAATCTCATGTTGTAAGGCTCAGATCATTTCTTAACTATAAACATCTCCCATTCTCATATGAAGTTCCCTTTAAAATATCATTTCAGCTCAGCCTAAAAATTCAACTCCATCAAAAATGTGGGCGTTTTCCTTGACTTAAATGGAAATGGTTTATTCTTTTCAAAGGATTTTGTAACCATCTTTACAGTTTCTTGGCTTGGAACCTGGGGTTAACTACCAGTTAACAGTTGTACTGTTTCCAGAGCATTATCTATGGGCCCGATGTGTACCTCAAGATAAACATGGTTATGTTGTGTCTAAAAAAAATTCATCGTTGATTTCAGTGGTTCTGAAATGTCTATAAATAAAGAAATTTTAAAAGTTGCTCTTCTGGCATTGGTTCTTTAGTGAGTTGGACCCTAGTGCATGGCTTTCCAGACACTCTCTTCCCCATCTTGAAGCAGAAGGGAACTCATCTGAAGAGATTCTGAAGATTGCAAGTCCACTCCATATTGACAAGAGATTGAAGACTGGCTATCATATCATAAATTGAAGAACCCGGGAACCAGGTAACCCAATGGCGTGCAAAGAGAATCTAGTACCTGTGCGATCAGAAGATATGAGAAAAGACAAATACAGATGAACTGGTGAGCCTTTAAAGAGAATAGGGAACTTCCCTGACAGTTCAGTGCTTCTACTGCAGGGGGCATGACTTCAATCCCTAGGTCAGGGAACTAAGGAATCCCGCATGCCACATGACAGCAGCCCAAAAAATAAAAATAATAATTGGTGGGGGAGGGATAAATTAGGAGTTTGGAATTAACAGATGCACACTACTACATATAAAATAGATAAACAACAAGGATCAACTGTATAGCACAGGAAACTATATTCAATAATTTATAATAACAGAATCTGAAAAAGAATATAGATGGGGAGATAGATAACTAAATCACTTTGCTATACACCTGAAACTAATGCAACTTTGTAAGTCAACCATACTTCAGCTAAACAACTAAAATTGGGACTTCCCTGGTGGTCCAGTGGTTAAGATTCCATGGTCCCCATGCAGGGGGGACATGGGTTCAATCCCTGGTCAGGGAACTAAGATCCCACATGCCACGTGATACAGCCAAAAAAAAAAAAGGCAAAAATAAGATTTTTAATAAAAGTAATAATACACATCCATACAGAGAAAAGAAAAACAATAGAAATGTGTGTCTCATTGTCTTATGTATAATTTCTATAATTACAATTAACAAGGAGCAGAAGTGATTGAAGGATGTAGAGAAAGACATGAGCATTCAGCACCCTGCAGCATTCACCAGTCAGTTTTACAGAGAAGTGGGCGAGTAAAAGCAGGTTAAGAAAGTTTTATTGTCCTTGAAATAGCATGAAGCAGCTCAAGACCATCTTACTGAGAAGTTCAGGGGAAGGCTGAAGACTGGGGGAGAATGATCTGAAGTCCTCGTCCAGCTAGGATCTCCCCAGCTTCACAGTCAGAGAATCTGCCTGCCTTCTTTTGCTGAACAAAGCATCCCCCAATCATTCCACCTTATACTTAAACCTTCAACCCTTCTGCCCTATTTCACAGGGATTAAAACCTGCAACTAAACCCGCCGGGGTCCCCTTTCCAGATTTCAGGGATGCGTGTTGGGTGAACACTGACATCACTGGGCTAAAATCTCCAAGGACCTACCCCGAGTTTCTAGACGTACTTACATCAGCTATACACGAGGACATGAGACTCCCCCAAATTGAATATTGCTGAGTAAATTTGAGTTGAGAAATATATTTGGTTAGAGGACTCACAGACAGAGAACAAACCAGTGATTGCCAAGGGGGGAGGCAAGTAGAAGAGGGAAGGACCAGGAGTTTGGAATTAATCTGCAAACTAGTACATCTAGAATGGATAAACAAGTTCCTACGGGGTAGCACAGGGCGCCATATTCAATATCCTATGATAAACCATAATGGAAAATAATATGAAAAAGACTATACATGTATAACTCAATCATTTTGCTGTATAGTAGAAATTAACACAACATTGGAAATCAACTTGAATAAAATAAATTTAAAAATTTTTTTAAAGAAATATATTGGGTTAGCATCAGATATCCTCCAAATCCTACCTATCTGAGGTAGGTTCACTTCAGTTCAGTCGCTCAGTCGCGTCTGACTCTGCAACCCCATGAGTCACAGCACACCAGGCCTCCCTGTCCATCACCAACTCCCAGAGTTTACTCAAACCATGTCCATCGAGTCGGTGATGCCATCCAACCATCTCATCCTCTGTCGTCCCCTTCTCCTCCTGCCCCCAATCCCTCCCAGCATCAGGGTCTTTTCCAATGAGTCAACTCTTCACATGAGGTGGCCAAAGTATTGGAGTTTCAGCTTCAGCATCAGTCCTTCCAGTGAACACCCAGGACTGATCTTCTTTAGGATGGACTGGTTGGATCTCCTTGCAGTCCAAGGGACTCTCAAGAGTCTTCTCCAACA